GCTTGGTTGAGTTGAATTTTAATGGGCCCATATTTACTTGGTCTAATAATCGGCCAGGTGCTACAAATGTCCAAGAATATCTTGACCAGGTGTTGGTTAATTTTGAGTGGTGTGTATCTTATCCCTCAATGCAGGTGGTTCATGAGACCAAGTTAGGCTCTGATCATTGCCCTATTGTGATTGAGTTTGAGAATTTTGATAAGAAAAGGTCATTTTACTTCAAGTTTGATAGTACGTGGTTAGAGGACCCTGCTTGCGAGGAGGTGGTTAAGTATACATGGATTCCTTGTCTGCCTGGCCAAGCGAGTTAGCATGTCTACTTGAATCTGGAGCATTGTAAGGATAGTCTCCGAGCTTGGAGTAAGCATAAGTTTGGTAATAATAGAAAAATTTTACAGGAGCTTTTGAAAAATTTGTGTTCGTGTCATTCTCTTGTCCTTACTGAGGTTAATTTGCGAAGAGAGGCTGATTTATGTTCTCAAATTGATGCTCTCAGATGTAGAGAGGAGCACTATTGGAGGCAACGGTCTAGAATTAGTTGGCTAAAGGGTGGGGATCAGAATACTAGATTCTTCCGTTTGTCTACTCTCCAACGACATAATTAGAATACTATTGTTAGAATCATGAACGATGCTAAGGCTTGGATTGAAGGTGAGAAGGAGCTGAATTCTCATATTACAGATTATTTTCAACGTCTGTTCACATCTGTTGGGGCTAGAGACTTCACTAAAGCTTTGCAGGCAGGCAGTCCCAAGGTTTCTACAGCTATGAATCAAAGTTTACTTCGCAAGCTCACGCTTAGGGAAGTTCGGTGTGCGGTCTTTGAGTTGGGGCACATTGTGGGGGTAGGATGTCTTTCTTATGGTTAAAGAATTCCTTGAAGGAGGTTTTTCCCTGAATCGTACAAACATTGTTCTTATCTCGAAGGAAGCCTCACCTGAAACAATCTCTCAATTCCGTTCTATTGCTTTGTGTAACTTCGCTTACAAGGTCATCTCTAAAGTTCTAGTGAACAAGTTGAAGCCTTTGATGAGTTCTATTATTTCCCCAACCAGGCAGCCTTTATTCCTAATCGCCAAATTTAGGATAATATTTTTATTGCTAATGAAGTTTTTCACCATCTTAAAGGTCAAAAAAAGGGTACAGAGCCGGAGCTGGCTATTAAGATGGACATTAGTAAAACCTATGATAGGGTTGAATGGGATTTTCTGGAAGCTACTATGTTATCACTGGGGTTTGATAGGCGATGGGTGAATTTGATTATGTAATGTGTTTCTACTGTGCCTTTTACCGTGCTGCTAAATGGGGCCCGCCAAGGTGAAGTTTAGCTGCAACGGGGCTTGCGACAAGGGGATCCTTTGTCCCCTTATCTTTTTCTGTTTGTCGTTGATGTGCTGACTCTCTTTTCTTCCTCAAGGCTGAGGATGGTTGTGTCAGGGAATTCCTCAGGACTCTCCAATGCTATTGTGTTGCTTTAGGTCAAAGTGCCAATTTACAGAAATCTAGTATCATTTTCTTGGCAAATTCTTCTCATGAGCAAAGGAGTCGTCTATGCCTTCATTTGGGGATGAAGTCTCTTCCTCACCAGTCTAAATATTTGGGCATTCCTACCATGTGGGGTCGTTCACGGAGTGAGGTGTTTAGGTATATTTTGGATTGTGTTGCAAAAAACTTCAAGGCTGGAAAGAATCATGTTTAACACATGCGGGGTAGGAAGTCCTAATAAAGGCGGTGATTCAAGCTATCCCTAACTATGTTATGTCTGTTGTTGCATTTCCTAATAGCTTCTATAACAAGCTTAATGGCTATGTTCGACATTTTTGGTGGAAGGGGTCTATGGAGGGTAATGGGATATCTTGGAAGAAGTGGGGGAAAATGACCGAATCCAAGAAGGCTAGGGGCGTGGGATTCAAGGATTTCAAGTTATTTAATCAGGCTCTCCTAGCTAAACAAGGCTAGAGACTCTTGTCTTAACCTGATTCCTTTTGAGCGAAGTTTGTGAAGGCCATCTATTATCCTAATGGGAACTTTATGCATGCCAGGAGGGGTCATCAACCTTCCTGGGTATGGTGCAGCCTCCTTCATGGAAGAACTTTGCTTGATAAAGGCATTATGTGGCAAATTGAGGATAGGAAAGAGGTTAGCTTTTGGACTGATAAATGGGTCCCCCTTTCTCCTTCCTTGACTGTTCAATCTCCTAAACCCATTGATAGTAGGATTAAAAGGTGGCTGATGTTATTAATTTGGATCCTTGTAGATGGGATATTTCTGGTTTGGTTGATGTTATTTCAAAGGCGGATTTATCTGCTATAAAATCTATTCCCCTTTCATTCAGAGGAGGAGTTGATAAACGTGTCTGGTGGCCAAGCAACAAGGGGCTCGATTCTGTCAAATCCGGGTATATGTTAGGCAACAAACAGTTGCTGCCCTCCCTGGATTGCAACTCTTCTATTTCTCCTCATCTCAAGCTCTGGCAGGTGGTCTGGAACATGAAGGCCTTACCAAAGGTGAGACATTTTTGGTGGAGAGCTTGCCACAATATTCTTGCTACTGAGGAGAACCTTTTTAAACGTAAGTGTGTTGCTTCTCCATGCTGCCCTATTTGTTTGTCTTTTCCTGAATCTATTGAACATCTTTTGTTTGAGTGCGAGTGGACCAAGAGGATCTGGTTTGGAATGATTCTGTTTGTTGGGAGGACTGAGGACTCTTCATGTCTGTGACACAACGGTCCTCTTGTCTATTGGAGATGGTGGAGGATGTTGCAAGTAGATTGGTGTTTTTGGGGAAATTGGCAACGGTGGGTTGGGTTATTTGGAAAACCAGGAACCAAAAAGTGTTCTGTGATGAAGAGATCAATGTTGTAGCCTCACTTTTGCGTGCTCAGAGCCTGTGGAGGGACCAGTTTTGTGGGTCTGCTACTGGGGATGCGAGGTCTGATAGTCTTGTGGATGCTGAGGTGCCTCCCCCCTCCCTTGGTTCTGATGTCCTCTTTTGTTGTGGTGGTGCTTTCAATTCACCTTCTGGGAATGCTGCTTGTGGAGTGGTGGTGTGTACTGTAGGTGGTGAGTTGATTTTTGGAGCAACCAAGTCTTTTTCTGCTGGGTCTTCTTTGTCATCTGAAACCGAAGCTGTCCGCCAAGCTTGTATTCTTGCTAATGCTCTTTTTCTGACTAATGCTACTGTTATGAATGATTGTTTGTCTATCATTAAATTAAGTGTTGCAGAAGATGCTCCCCCTTGGAGATTAGGGTCATAATGGATGATATTAGATTTTTTGGTTACATAACCTTAGCTTTTTACATAAACTACGAGCCTGTAATAAGGTTGCTCATTGGGTGATAGCTTCTAAGCTAACCAACTCTCTTCTTTGGATTGGTTAGGCTCCCTCCCTCCCGAACTTATGACTTCTCTTTTGTCTGACTGTAATTTGAATTTTTCTACGTAATTAATGTTATCTTCTCTTTCTTTGATCAAAAAAAATATTAGTATGTCATCTGCAAACATCAAATGGGTGATTAGAGCACAATTCCTTGCTATCTTAATGTCATTCAGCTTCCTCGAAACAACTTATTTATGTAGCAACCTGGATAAGATTTCAAAGAAAATGACAAATAATGTGGGAGAGAGTGGGTCACCTTGTCTGATTCATCTTTGTGCCTAGAAGTTACCAAAAGGGCTGCCATTATGTAGGATAGAAAATGATGTTGTGGAAAGACATTGACGAATGAGAAAGGTAAAAATTGATGGAAACCCCAATAGAGTGAGTATTTTGAGTAAAAATGGTCATTCTACTCTATCAAATGCTTTAGACATGTCAAGTTTAATCATCATTAGAGCACCTTTCCCTTTTATCCTCTTCATTTGGTGCACTATTTTCTGAGTTAGCACTATGTTCTCAGCAATACCTCTCCCTGGAGCAAAGACAGTTTGGTTTGGTGTGATGAGTTTGTCCAGGTGGGGTCTTAATCTATTGGCTAGAATCTTAGAGATCATCTTATAAGCAACGTCTTTCGGGATGAGATATATATTGGTTATGTTAATTTTCCTAAGCACGGGGGCAATTAGGTCCCTATTTATTGAGTGCCAATAAAATTACTCTAATTTTTACTCAAATTTAAGTCCCCTTAGAGATGCTCTAATACTCATTTGAATCAACTTGCCCCCTATAGTGTGCGATTTGTACTTGACCTTTTTTTTGTAAAGAATATTATGCCATCCTAAATCTACGATTCCCTCACTAATTCCGTAGCCCCTTGCAGTATTAAATCCGTTCAAATACTTTTTATTTTTCTTATGGCATATCATCCACCATTAACGAGAAAAAATCCATTTATATACAATAAATCCTGCTTAAATTTATGTTTGATGATCTACTAAAATAAATAAATAAATAAATAGAAAATATATTGAAGATAATTTCACTCTCCTCCTCGCACAAGTTAAGACCAATAAACTATAATATATGCCCAATAAATAGTTATAACCCATTAATTTATCAAAAAATTCTTAAAAAATTCAAATTATGCATATGACAAACTAGTGTTGTCACAACATTTCTTTGGGTACCTACCACAGCTGATATCGCCATGTGGTATGACTAACTCCCGAAATTTATTTATTTTTGATAAGTAGACAAGAGGTAATTCATCCCCCATATTAATTCCGACCCCACGGGCAGGAAGGAACAGATCTTCCCTCATTTTCAGAGAACTGGTGACCACAGGGCAATTCTTCACGGCACAAGGCATCCGAGAGCTAGAAAGAGAGAGACCGTAAGGTCCTTAACTTGGCAAAAAACATTAGAAGACCTAACATCCTTTAACACACATTTATATATTTTCCTCAATAAATAGATCACTGCACAAGAGTTCAACCAAGACAGATCAATTTCCCTCCAATACTTACATATCATAACTATGGCTTTCGACCTAAATGATTTCAATTTCAACCAATCAGAAACCAAATTTCCGAAAAATTAGTTAACAAACAGGTAAGATGTGGGAAAAAGGGAGAAGCAATGAGATTAAAAAAAGATTGAAAAGTGAACCTTCTTGAAACATAAAGGACAAATTACCAAATTAAAGTCATTAGAAATCAATGTAAACCACAAATAATGTTCATCAAGAACACAAGCAGAAGTCCTCTTTAGTTGGACAATTAGCCCGCCCTGTTGATAATTGTACATATATAGACTATTTTCAAGCACACAAACCCTTCACGACAAGTTCCATTGGGGCAAAAACAATTTTGAAGGGAAAAATTTTGGTAAAAAAGAGTTGGGAATACCAGGCTGACCTTAGAGAAAGCCTCCATCAGTCCACTTACCATCTGATTTCCCATTGTGACCCACTGCCTTGCTATCAGGTGCGCTCTGGTAGAAATTATCGAACCCATCATCTTTACCATCATCCCAGCCTGCCCAGCTGTCCCCATTATGGGTTGTTTTCCCCTTAGATGTTTCTTCCTTCGAATTGTCCTTACTATCCCAATCATCCCAAGAGCCTGAACTGACAGAATTAACATGGCTACCAGATGAGGGCTGCCCGCCAGTAGAATTCCATCCTTTTGACTCCTGTCCAAACTCCTGGTAGTAACCATTACCCTGGCTTTCATTACGTTCCCAGCCATCGTTCTTCCAGCTGACACCCTCTTTTGTGTACTCCTCAACCTTCTGTGAAGCCAATGCCATTACCCCTTTCATGATCCCCCATGTCTTCTGTCCAATCTCTGTCGTTTTTGCGGTGACAACATTGACGGTTTCATTCATCTTGTGATCATATCCTCCCTCTCTCACCTGTAAGATGGGGTTACACATGCATCTTTCTTCATTTGTTCATACATAACTTCCAAGATCATTGAGGCAATAGCAAACATTCTATAGAACATATCCACAAGAAGCAAAATCCAAAGTTTTAGGAGGTAAGAGGTAAATGCACACAACTTGAAAGGGACTTCACCCAAGGAATATGTTCAGCTTACACAAAATATATTAAGCCCAAAGCAATCAATAGTCATGACATCAAACAGTCATTTTTACACACATAAAAAATAATACCAACAAATATCAAATTATTCAAAAGGAAATAGTATTTCTAAAAAGCTCAATTATTTAATTACCAACATACACTTACCTGGTCTGTTAAGTTTTCTGCCCATGGTACTCCTTAGCTTTCAAAAAGGAGCACATGAAAATGTCTCACCTCTAAACAGAGCTACAACATCTATAGCTATGTCTTCAGAAAATCAGTGATCTGCTACTTAAGCACTTTGACGTCTCTTCAAGAATGAAAGGAGGCTTCGCAAACTAAGAGGGAGACATCACACACAAATGTATAGGGAGAATGACAGACTTGATACAACTGTGGATAACTCAGCAGGAGTCAAGAAACTCTACTCCGAAACTAATTTATTCTCAAGCCACCAATTAGCCTATATACACCTCCATATATGTCATGGACTAATTTGCCACTAGATACTGGCAGATGAGCAAATAAGAATTTATCAAAAATCAATGAAAAGAAACACTATCTCCATTGCGAACAAAATAATCATTTTTGAAGCAGAAAAGGTGATGATGACTGATAAGAGCAAAGAGATTAGTGACTACAACTGTCACCGTAGGAGCAAAACTCAGACCTGGGTTAGATTTTAGCCACCAATTTTGGTTTAATCTTTAATTTCTTAATTCTATGATTTCATTATTATTTCTCTGTATAGAATTGGACTTCTTGGAACAGCCTGTAACCATTAGGTTTGTCGTAGTAGAGGAATTTAGCGTTAGCATTAACGAGATACAACACAAAAAGGGAATTTCCCCTTTCTCTCTCTCAGCTCTCCTCTCTCTAAGTCTACTCTTGCTCTCACTCTCCATCTTCCTCTCTCTCTCTCCCTCTCCCCCCCACCCTCCCCCAACTCTCTTCTGTTTTTGATGTACTTTTTCATGAGGTGTATAACACGACAGGTAGTAGTCACCAAAAACACCAAATGTTATGTGATGTGAACCTAAATGCATCACATCTACATCCAAAGCAGAACCCTCAGACCTGGCAAATTAATTCAGTAAAATATATCATTTGAAGGAAAATAATCTAGTGAAGGCCCGCTTATTAGAACAGAAAAACTCACTTCAGTTCAAAACAATAGGGAGTTATTTGTACATAATTATATTTAGGTTAGCAATGGAAAGGGAGGTAAAAAGTGATTAGATTTTTCTTATTGATTAACTATTCGTTCTTCTTGCTTGTGGAAAAGCTGAAACAATAGTGTACTTGTTCACATCGTGAAGGATGGGAGAGGGACAGTGGTAGAAATATCAAAGAAGAGTACACCTAGACACTATTGCCACCAAGACACACAATGCAGCCACCTTGCCCAGACAGAGTATTTCCAATTTTCCATGCACCCACAACCCAAAGTCATGGCATGAATGTGTCTAGATTCTAGCGAATTATACTACTCTTCATGCACTAGAATTTTTGGATTCAAAGCAGATGCAGCACCATGGCCTATTCAAAATATACCAGTGCATATAAAATCATTACATTTACTCCATCTCTCACCCTCCAATATCAACTCCCCACGGAGGCAAGTTGCACATGAAGACAAGATTATCCCTAAAACCACAAATATATCAGTTGAAGTCATCAAATGTGGATGAGAAGAATATCACAACCCATATACCTACAATATCATGATGGACTAATTACTTTAGATGTCCGTGAAGAAGCCACCAACAAACACACACAATTTTTGAGGCCCACCAGAAAAAGGAAATAGGATTATTATGACATTTATTTCAGACAAATAAAAAATTAGAAAATGCCTTATAAGAAGTTTTATTAGTATGGGATACAATAAAATCACATTTTTTGTAAGAGAATCACTATCTACGAATCGCTTAAAATTGTGTCAAACCATATTACCATGATCCATGATCAAGAACGCTCATAATAACTAACAACAATATTTGGAGCATGGAAATACTTCAATTGATCACATGCAGTAATCTCACAGAAAGAGAGCAAAAGAGATGCATCGTAAATAATATATTCAGCTGTGCCAATTTTAATTTTCAGTTTACCTTTACACGAGAGACACAATTACAAGTTCTTTAACCTTGATAGGCTAAACCATATTTGGATATCAAATTGCAGCAATTGATTTGTATGCACAGAAGGTTGTCGTGCTCTGACTTCAAGCTACCTCCAAACTCCAATGAGTATGCTAGCAGGTAGTACAAACCATAAAATAAATAATAATAATCCCTGCTTTACTATGATGATATGGTGACTGTTTTAACATCCCCCCAGGTAGTATTTCAAGCAGTTAAGTTCTAAACAAACAATAAGATTGCAGCACGGAGCATGCAGTATGTAGTTTTCCCTAAATGACCAATTAATGATTGCATGCTGACATGAACGTAGATTCACTTGGAGACCTCCACAATTATTGAAGCAAGAGGTAACTAAAAGCCTATAATAGCTTAGCAAAATGGTAATCCAATTCAAATGAAAATGTAAAGGCAAACACCTTGGAAGTGAGCTCCTTTGTCCCCGCCTGAACAACATTAGCAGCCGACTGGGCCGCCGACGCAGCAACCATAGACAACCGGCCAAATCCCTATACAACAACACGCAATTACCCCATCGATACACGTTACACCTCTATCCAAAAACTTAAGCTTTTATGATGGTTCATCAATCAGCAATTCACATCTTCGCCAACCAAAAAATTACACATATATACATTCAAATTACCTGAGTAACAGTAGAAAGGACATCCCCTTGGGGATCATTCCTCGGCATTGGCGCGGGATTTGATCCGAATCCCACATACTTTCCCCCTTGCGACGGAGGAATCCCCTCCGGTCTCGATGAATTCTCCGCGATTTTACCTGCAAAAAAACTCTCTTTATTCGCGGCCGATGCCTCTAACTGCCCCCGCGTATAAATATCCTGCGTCGATCTCGACCTCGTCGGCCCACCAACCCCTCCACCTCCACCACTCCTAAAATCCCCCACCGTCTGATTCCTCCTCATATCCGATCCCGACGATCTAGAACCACCATCATCATAATTATCCCAGTTATCCCACCCTCCATTTCCCCCAATATTACCATTCCTACCACCACCACCGCCATTCAACGGCGGTTTATTATTATAACTACTCTTATTCTTTCCAGCTCCGTCTAGGTTTTCCTTTACAACCGGTGGGTCCCGCCACGATCGACCCTCGGCTAGGGCTTGGATTCGATCGCGATAAATCGAAGCGGCATTGGTGTTGTATTTCGTAATTATATCGGTTTCCTTGGCGATTCCATACTGTGTCAAGAACTTATTGAGATTATCGTTGCCTCCGAGCTCCATTTTCTTCAGCTGGATTTCGGACCAGGAGTCCATGGTGACGGATCGGACGAAACTGATGTGGACACCGAGGCCGCGATGTTTTCCGGAGCATTCTAAGCACATGAAGACGCCGTAGGAGACGGAGGCCCATTGAGGGTTCTTCTGGGAACAGTCTACGCAGATCTTGTTCCCAGGCTGCGCTTGGAGATCTCGGAGGCGCCGCGATGCCGCCATTACAATCTGGATCGGTGTTGATCGCGATCTTTCAGATCGGATCTGTCAACAAATTGAAGAAATTGTGTGAAACAGACAGAAAATTAGATCATAGATTGTGTGTATGTTGATTGAATAGTGACAAAACGTTAAATCGAGAGAGAGAGAGAGAGAGAGAGAGAGAGAACCTTTTCCTTTCGCCGACACCGTCAAAACGCTTGAGGTGGAAAAATGGGTGGTGCACTAAGTACATTGCTTGGCCATAGACCACTGTCATTCCCTTTAACAAAATTTTTAACAGTAATTTACAATAACCTCCCCTGAGATATGTGCGAATAAAAACCAGACCTCTTAAATTACTCAGCACTCCCTACTCACATAGGTATTACTATTAGCAGCATGTTCGGGAACACATCGTAGCATGATTTATTATTATTTTTTTATTGTATTTTTAGATAAATATATCTGAATTAATTTATATATGCACATCTCCGCATGACTAAGAATTAGGTGGCACACATGTGCACTATATGAAAAATGATAGATTTAAAAGGTAAGACATTGATTAAAAAAATAAAGAAGGTGAGATAAAACCGAAAAAAATAAAATTGTGAAATAAGCTGATCAATATAAGAGGAGTGATTAAGGAGAGTAGGAGAAGGAACTTTATTGGTGTGAAATTTATATATATTTGTTAATAAATAAAAATAATAATAAATATCTTGAAGCGAGTACATCTCTCTAGCCTTTCCCGAAACAAATTTGATTCTTTTAATCTATATCTTTATCTATACTACTTCTAAAATACTAAACCCCAAAAACTAGACTATATATTCTATGACCTTATTTATAACTACAACAACAATTAAACTGAGTCTAACAACTCGCTTGTATGTATTTAATCTTATAGTCATTTCACTGGTCAAGTTAATCATTCAACAAATAAGGAGCGAAGGCGAGAAAGATGATTCAATATACTTCTTATACACAGTAAGAAGAGAATTTCACATTATTATCGAAATGGGTTTAGAAGTTATACTTTGTGGGTGAAAAAATAGAAAAAGAAAAAGCATAAGAGGTAAAGAAAAATGAAGGACAGGGTAAAAAAATATTAAGAGAGCCTGATTTCATCATCATAGCCAATGTAAGCTAAAGGATATTGGGCTAAAAACATATCTATGTTGAACTTTGTTGGCCAGTCAAGGTCCTCAAGTCGGTTCTTCATTTATTTATACTAACTTTCGTATCAGAACTAATTTGTGAATAGTGAAAAATTAATAGAGACGTGGGTGAAAACTAAATATGAATAGAAATATATGTTTTGTATAATTGTCGATAATAAATAGCAAAATAATCACATTCTCAAAGACACAATAACCAACAAATTGACCAATTAGTGATAATCTCCACATAACTATTGATATTTTTGGTTGAATTGAGGTTGAGTCAGAGTTAACCTACCCAAATTGCACTCATTATAGCACATGAACCAGCACTAACAGACTGGTCCATTTTTTCTTTCTTGGTTTTAAATTTTTGGTTGAAACTTCGGATCAATATCAACACCTGAAAAGTAATAGGTAATCATTTGGTGCACAAAACAAACACCCAATTTCTAAGTGGTTCTTTTTGGTATTGGAATTTATTTTTAAAACAAGCACACATTTGGCTTTTGTAACCTTTATGCTCATGAAAAATTCATAATAGTCCAGGTGTGCATCAACTAGTTATAAATAGATGAGTAATAGGCTTTACGAAATAATCCACCAATTACAAACTGTTATATTCCATGAGTATGTGTGCATACTGATCTAATTGTCCTATTCTTCTTTTTTGTTTTTGGTCATTCAAAGGAAGAGGGGCGGACTAGTAGCTAATAACCCTCCTAGGCAAGACCACGACAATACTCTGTTGTGAAATATTCGATTTTTAAAATCATAACTATTAATTCAAAGGATAATCTGTCACCACAACACTATCATCTACTTTTCTTGTTCACCTTTCACATTTTATCTAATATTTTTTGTAGTAAAATCTGCTGGAATCATGGAAGACCCACATTTTTAAATTTTAGTAAAATATCAAAAAATCCCTAGAAAAAAAATATTATATATAAAAACTAATACAATTGTTTAAAAAATACAAAACTCCAAAGTAAAACTGATCAATACCATAAAGTAAGCCCATTGATTACTCTGGTTGTGTTTTGCATCCCCATTGCTTCAGGGAAAAATTACAAACAAGTATTACTTTTTCATATAAACATTCATTAAATTCTATCATTTTTGTTTTATATCAATGAAATTTTATTTTTAATATTTTATTTCAATTAAGTCCTAATTCTATTATTTTTTAATTTTATCATTACTTTTTAGTTACCAAAATTCTTTAATTCTTTTGCATTCTTATATCAGCTCAGCGGCATATTCTTGGAACATTCTTAAAAATGCTAATTAATTGAGAAAGTGTTACATTTTCAATGTTAACATATAACATTTTACATTTTTCATTAAATAAAATGAGACATAAGGTAATACTTTACACTTCAAACTTTCAATGTTACACTTTACATGTGTATACATACTTGTATATATATATATATATATATATATATAACAAACACACATAAATCAATGTGCATTAAATATTAAAGTTCTCCCATAAAACTATGAGATATTTAATACACAATTTTTCCTAAAATGGGCATTTATGTCTTTATATCTAACTAGTGTACCTTTTTTCTAAAATATTTTTTAATATATATTTTTTGTCAAATAAGTCTTAATTAAGTGTACTGACTTCCAAAAACCCCTATTCAAAATAACCCAATCCCACAAAGTTATATGGGCTAATGGGCCACACTTTTCCTCCATATTTTGGTGCCATAATGTTGATGCTAATTTCCTAGTACTGTTTTGGAATTGGGCTGACCTAGCCCAATATTTAATGGGCCTGGACTGAAGCGATATCCTGAATAAGTGTCGTGTTGTGACGGGATTAAATCAGTTTATACGAAAATATTGTGTAACACAATTGACAACCAACTAAATCTACAGATCATATCATATGTTGCCGCACCAATACTTTTAGGGCATGTTTGGTACGTGGGATAAGAGAGGATTTGGAAGATGAGTTGGGAATAAAATTTCATAAAATCCATCAAATTCATGTTTGACAACTACATTTTTAGCTCATGTTACCAAACCCAACTTGCTTTAGGTCCACAATTTAAACCCATGTTCATGAAACTCGATGGGGTTGAGTTTCATATGAGTGTTAAATGGTTAAATGTATAAAATAATATTTATATCTTCATATAACTTATATACCCCAAATAATTAAATAATTAAATATTAAAATAATCAAATAATCTAATATTAAAATAATCAAATATTTATACCCCAAATAATCAAATATTAAAATCATAAGGACACAAAAAAATGTACGTTTATAAACATGAGTTTGAATTAGATTGGTTAAGAACTACAATAATCATTTATATACAAATATATTATCATAATAGTGATATATTCGTACGTATATCAAACATGGGTATGGACAGAATTAAATGTTGAATCACATCTTTACAAAGAGGGGTTTGAATTTTGAAGAGTTTTGATAAATAAATCTAAACCCCTCCCAAAAAAACTTACCAAACATGCCCCCTTAGGATATTTACTTCGGGTACTCCTAAGTTGGATTGATTTTAGTTCGGGTACTCGTCCTATCGTCTTAATGCCATGGCCTACCTCCACCCACAAATGGGGTCTCATTATGGTCAGGAAAAGGACATGTCACTCATGAACCATTCCATTTACCACTCTTGTTCTTTCTGCACATTTTTGTGTCTAACCGAATAAATTTTGAAATTATTGTCTTTTTTTTGTTAACTTTATCCTCCATCGCTCTAATAATAATCGGCTAGAAAGTTGAATCTTTATTTTTTAATTTATATATTTTTTTTAAAAAATATTATATTATCTAATTCTATCACATGCTCAATCATTTAATATTTAATTAATTTATAATTTAATACAACTTTTATTTCATACTTTATCTATACACAATAGTATATACATGTTAAAAAAAAATTTATCGGGTTATATATTTGGATAAAATTTTGACGCTATTTTTAAGAAAATAATAGATAAAAATTAATTTTAAATTTAATATAGTGGGATCAATTTTTTAAATACTAGAATCCTATGTTTTTATCGCGTCTTCAGACATGAGTTATGATTAGTATATATATATATATATATACACACACACACACAATAAAGTAGAGTTGAATTTGAATCCCTAATTTTTTGCGGCTCAAATCAACTCAAAAATATTGATTTGACGGATTAGATTGACAGACAAATATTATTTTGCCGCTTAAGACACATTTCATTTTTAATTACCCTAAATTAATACTCCTTCGTTTTCACATTTCATTCACGGCTTCATGGCTTTTATATTTACTCATTAATTGAGAGTCAAATCTCCCACCAAGTCATATATATATCTTCCCCAAATTATGTCTACTTCAATTAATTCACTCTTTCAATGGTAACTAATTTATTCTCTTTAGTATTTGAATATTTATCTTTCGGATTATACCGTGACGATTTTTTAAATTCACTACTGCTCAACTAAAGTAACACATTAGATTTTAGTATTTCATGAAAGCTATTTTTTATTTATTTATGATTTCATTGAGTCAATAATTTTTTTTGTGTTATGTAAATTTAATTTTTGGCTTAATGCGAGCAATATAGATTTTAAGTTTTTTTAACACAAAGAGAACTATAAATAATAACTTGAGTTTGGGTACTGCTACGCGTTTAGATAATCTACATCTATATTATAAAATATGACTGACTTCAATAAATTCATCCGACGGTTTCAAATCAACACATCAAAATATTACTAACATCTCTCTCAAAACCATTCAAATTGAATTTTTTCTTCTCCCCAAATCAATCACTTCTCACTTTCGTTGGCACATATTACTCATAGTATATATATATATAACTTATTTTTTAATTTATTATTATTATGGCATTTGAACTTCACAAGCATTCCATTTATTGTTATTAATTTATTTATTATTCCCAAGTCGTTGAAACTTCACATTCCTATACAACCGCCACCCAGCTTAGCACATAGTTCTCACATTCTTCTCAACTTAAATAAACGAGAGTGACCAATTAAAATGATTTTAAAAGTTCAAGAAATATTAAAGTAAACTTTCACATTCCTATACATGGAGAATGCATTTTATGAAATACAGTAATAATAATAATTACTATTATTATTTTATAATTAAAGATGGGTTGGTTGAAGAGTTGGTGAAGCTAATTAAACTTTCGATTTTCTGCTTTATCTTTCAATGCAGCTGTCCCATGCATTTAATCTTATTTAATCTTTAACACACACTCTCTCTCTCTCTCCAACACCCAACACCCAACACCCACACAGCTTTTCTATAAATCGCTCCCGCTGCCATAGCTGAAATAAGTGAAGAAAGGGTCTATCTATCTATCTATCTATCTATCTATTTCTGTGTATGATTTAGTTGCAGAAAAAGAGGAAGTTGTTGTTCTTGGGGAAAAAAAAAAAAGTGAAAAATGTTGAGATTGATAACGGGAATACCAGGCCCAAGTGGGTTTGGATCAGCTTCAACTGCTGAACAGGTCACTGAGGGGATTGACGCTACCAACCTCACCGCCATTATTACTGGTTAGACACACACACACACACATATATATATATATATTATCAAAATCTCAATGCATGTGTTTGATTTTGATTATGGAATGATTACATAATCTCTGAACTTGGGTCTATGTATATGATCTGATTGTTTTGAAATTACTATTTCTTCTTTTAGTTTTCATGTGTATGTTTCGGTATACCGAAAATATTATTTGGATTTAATTTAATAAAATTATTAAATTAATAACGAGTTTTAAATTAATTCAATAATTATGATATATTAAGTGATCAAATTGATTATTCTGGACGAGAAATTCGGGGCTTGTTATCGTCGGTGGTTTCACTTGGTAACTCTCCCTTTTTTATTTTTTTTTATTTTGGTAAATAGTTTAATTTGTAACTGTCGGGTTTGCCTTTCTGCTGCAATATTTATGACTAATGTCACCCCACCCATCTGTCTCTCTCTTACTGTTTGGGTCCACACCTTCCGTTCCAGAAATAATTGATATACGAATTTGACTATGGTATTAAAGAAAAAAAATTTGGTTTCTTACCTCAATTTTTTATTATTTTAATGAATATTTTTATAATTTTTGTGATTTATTGTATAACTAAAAAAATTATCACTTTTGTGTGAGGGTGCAATTTAGACGGACCAACCCGAACTCAACTCAAAAAAATAGTGTTAAGTTATAAAAGTTAGAGTAGTTAAGGTTAAGGTTTGGATTGAAAATTCGAATTGAATTCGGGTAAGACTTAGGTTAAGAGTTCCAGTTTACGGGTTTAACCCGAATTGATGAAATTAGACTCAACCCCAAACCCAACCCAAGTTTAACCCGAATTCATGTATTATATTTATATAAACAATATATAAAAGTAAAAATAAAACATAAGAACATATATTTTTAATCATTATTATTTAAAGATTGAGTGAAATATGATTTATAAAGATTATAGGTGGTGAAAAAAATTTACACAATTGACGTTGGATAAATATAAAAAGTAAAAGAAAGACAAGGAATTGTTATCCAATAGCAGATAGACAACCCATGTAGGCCTATATAATAGTCTAATATTGTACAAATGCTCACACCTAATTTAAAATTATTGTTTATGGAACCCAAATTGGATAATCTAATTTCAACCTGAGCTTGCCTGGAATTAACTCGGGCAACACTTAGATTGAATATCTTGGGTTTAGGCCGAGTTAGAGTTAAAGTTAAAGTTAACGTTTAAGATTCTATATCTAAGGTTAATCTCTCAACTTGCCCAACCAATCCAAGTTGCACCCTACTTTTTTCGGTGTTTGTATTATAGGTGTTTTTATCATATATGTAGTAACTATTTTAAACCATTTTTCTTTAGTTAAAAAAAAATTATCACATTTTTGGGTATTTTTATCACTGTTGTGATAATTATTTTTATTATTTTTTTTGGGTACCACAACAGTGGTAAAAGTATTCACAAATGTGATAAAAGTAACCATAAATGTGTTAATTGAAGGTATAGTACCGATTTTTTTTTTTTCAGGTTACGTAGTCAACTCTATTGACATACATTCTGTTTAAACCAACTAGTGATCGATTCAGACATGTCTGTATACCTTCTAGAATTAAAACCATACAACAACGACCGCAAAAAATGGTCATCCAAAAAAGTCAATAGAAGATTGACCAATGATCATTTTCTTCCCGGGTTGGTGGTCGAACAACCTTAAACTAGGGTGGTTGTAGGATTTAAGATTTGTCCTCAACTATGTGCAATTGGAGATAAATCAGACATAGTGCTTGCAAATACATAATGTCAAGTGAGGCTTATATCGTAATGTGTATGTGCAGGAGGGGCTAGTGGGATTGGGTTGGAGACAGCCAGAGTTTTAGCTCTTCGGAGAGCTCATGTCATTATTGCAGCAAGGAACATGGTGGCTGCAAATGAAGCAAAACAGCTCATTCTTAAGGACAACCAAACTGCTAGAGTTGATGTTATGAAACTTGACCTTTGCTCAATGAAATCAATTAAGGATTTTGCTGATAACTTCATTGCTCTTAACATTCACCTCAACATCTTGATGTGATTATACTCTCTCTCCTTTTTCATTTGTTTTTGTGTGTGTGCCTGTGAATCTGTGTGTTTTTTGAGTGCAATATTACCAAGATAATATTAACTTGAATGATTACCCTTCAGTTACGTCTAATTGACAGAAAAATTGAACTTTCAGAAACAATGCTGGTGTAATGTTCTGTCCATTCCAGCTCTCAGAAGATGGAATAGAGATGCAATTTGCTACAAATCATCTTGGTACGCAGTATACATTAGTGTTTATACACCAGTTAATCTATGTTAATGAGTAAAGCTGCAAATGAATTGAACTGAGATAAGCATCAGATTGTTTAGGTTCAGCTCCTTCATTTGATAAATCAAAAAGAGCTCGGGCTCAACTTAGCTCATTTGACATAAACAAACTGAGTTCAAGCTTCTGTTTGAGCTTAAACTTGAGTACATACTAGTATTTAATATCAAGCTCGGCTTGTTCATGTAGATACACTAATTTGTACTATCTATTTATTAACAATCTCGATCAGTTCACAAGTAGGATGAGCTGAACAAAGCATAGTACACGCTTGGCTCATTTAGGAAATGAACTATAAAATTGAGCTTTATCTTGGTTTGTTCTATAAGTAAACGAGCTTAAATGAGCTCCAATAGGAGTTGATCCTGAGAATTCTGACTTTTGGTTCTGTTGCTGCCCTATTAATGAGCCCCTTTTCGGTGATCTCTATTCTCAAATTGATTGGTTGTTTTCAGGTCATTTCTACTTGACGAACCTTCTCCTTGACAAAATGAAGGACACAGCAAGAGTTACTGGTATTGAGGGAAGGATTGTGAATTTGACATCAGTAGCCCACCTTCACACTTATGAAGAAGGGATAAGATTTGATAAGATCAATGATCAAAACTGGTTTGCCAATTTGTGAATGTTTCCTCTTTTCTCAATGCTTCATATGAATCACTTGTTATCTGAAGCTAACATGTTCTTTCAACTTCATTGTTGCTCCAATCAGCTATTCGGACAAAAAAGCATATGGACAATCCAAATTGGCAAACTTATTGCATGCCAACGAGCTCTCTCGACGTTTGCAGGTGATTTTATTGCTTCTGTTTGCAATCTGAGGGTGTTAATATATGGCCTATGCTTAAGTTTTCATTACTGTTCTTTACTCAAGTAAACCAATATCAACTTGTCTCTCCATCTCAGAATTCTTTTTGGGATGTCTGTTAGTGACCTGATGGAATCATTCTGGACTGCAATTCAATTGCCATTTTGGTCACTAATAATAACATCTCTCCGTGTTTATCATGGCAATTCAATTACTGTCACAAATCATTCAGTGGCTCTAAACACAGGACTAAAAAGAAAACTTAGTGCACAAGCTTCCTATGATGGGTCAATTAGTGAAGGGCAAGGAAGAAGTGGTGTCAGAAGAGATTGTCTGATGATAAAACACCAAACCAAAGACATGTTCTTCCATTAAGACTTGTCACCACACCATGATTTGTCTAGCAATGCAAGCCATACCGGTAGTTATTATGCAACATGGATTCAACCCATTATGCCATGGGAGAAATTATTTAGAAGAATGTCCGAATTTTGGGACTCACAATAAATATTAAACCATGTAGTTTTGATCAAAGTTCTATCTTTTTCTTTGTTTGCGATTTTTGTTTATGCTTCTTCACTTGACATGCAGGAAGAGGGAGAAAACATTACAGTCAATTCAGTGCATCCTGGTTTGATAACGACAAATCTCATGAGGCATTCTGCTCGTTTTGTTAGTATGTTCTAACGTACTTAATGCAGTTGAAGAACAATATGTATTGACTAAGAGTGATTTTTTTCCAGTGATTTTTATAATGTCGTTTTGGCAGGAATTATGAAGGTATTTACATATCTCCTATGGAAAGACATCCCTCAGGTACACAATACACCTCTGAAAGAAGAATTACATTCATTGAAAGGCAGTAGGAGTAGATATTTACAGTTTTCCTGCCTTTGTTAAATTATAGTAGCAAATGAGTGGGCTACAGAATTCCAGTACTAGCTGGTAAGAAAAAAATGAAAGAAAAATGAGCATAGATTTGTTGGTTCCTTACAATGAAAGAACAAATAGACACAACATAATCTATTTTCTCAGTTTCTTCTTCTACCCAACTCGTCTCACCTTTCTTTTTGTTATGTTGCCACAATTAAGCCTGTGGAATTTTTCTAGGAGGAATTAGTTCCATAAGGCTTTGCCATCCTAATACTATGCAATGTGTTCAGTAGTCTTTTTTTTGATGTAACGGGGAATCATCTCAATCACGTGCATTTGGATTCATGGCTGTAACACTAACCTCGTATACACGCGATCAACTGTTTGCATTGGCTGAACCCAGATTTTATGCTGGCCAATAAGGCACTGCAATTAAGATGAATGAGCAGGAACGGAACTTCCATTCCACTGCACTTCACTTTCAACCAAGCTGGTCTGACTGAAGCAAAGGATCAATCACCTATCCTGGCATTGCTTGTTGCTTAGTCCTATTCCGATTCTAGACCTATGACAGCTCAACCAGGGCTAGTTTTAATCAAGCACTAGCCCTTTCAGACTTGAATCCCCGATTCAGTTGGAATAAAAACCTCGCCATCGATGATGCGTTAAAAAAAAAACCATTTAGGAATAAAGAGTATTGTTATGATTGTTTTCCTTCATCTTAACCTCTTCTTAATGTCGTTAGCTAAATAATCACCGTAATTGGCTGTTCTTCCTTGAAGCTGCTTCCAATGGAACCTGAAAACCTTGGCTGCCATCTTTCATCATGTGCATCTGACATTTGCATTGTAGTCATGCATTCAAAGGGTATGTGTGATTGAAATGATTCTCCATTAAATAGAAATTAATAAAGGCTGCATGTTTTCTTATTTGTTTCCAGGGTGCAGCCACAACTTGCTATGTTGCACTCCACCCGCAGTTGAAAGGAGTGACTGGAAAGTACTTGCTGGACTGTAACGAGTATGAACCAAGCAAGTTCGCTACAGATGAAGCATTGGGGAAGAAACTGTGGGATTTCAGCAACAAGTTGGTTAACTCAACTCAACACACTTGAAACATATCACAGATGGCCCTCGAATTATTCCCCGGTTTTAAAGTATCCTCTTAACTTTCAATTGTCTCAAGCAATCAACCCCTTTCGTCTAATTCAACCGTTACAACCAATGGAAATGCCCCAAAAAAAGGTTTAAAGGCCAAATACAAATAGGTTTCATGGGGTTCCCAATTGTGTGCTTTACATACTGATTAGATTGAGACAGTTAAAAGTTGAGAAGAACATTTTAATACTGGAGGCATAGCTCGAGGAGAGACGTGATTTGTTTGGTTTGGTGTTCGATCATGTCCAGTACTTGAAGTCTTTTAAACTTGATTGTACTTACATGTTGGGTGTGGTTTACATACAAGAATGTGCAACATGATTGAAAGCAGCTTATAATCTATAAGCATATATCATTTATTCTCTAATTCCCT